TGTCATAGAGTAATCACGTAATAAATGTTTATTGACTGAACGGCTGACCTGAGAAAACTTCAAGCTCCCTTTGCCTGGCATTCAAAACCCTCCTCAAGATATCACCCTGCTTTTCTAGTTTTTATTATGCCATTTTTACCCTTAACACAGTTTACACTCTCAACAATTTGATCCATGTTTTCTCCCATTCACCATGCATCCATGTCTCTGACTATATTATTCATGTTTAAATCAATCCAATCAGTCAAGAAGTTACTAAGCACTTTATTATGCATTAAGGGCTGGGAATATAACGACAAAAGTGAAAAATTCTCAGCTGTCATAGAGCTTACAGTATATTGGGGGAGATACATATGTAGATATAGATGCAATATATGCAAAATAGAAAAAAGGTGGTCTATGGGTGGGGAGGGCACTAGCAGCTGGAGCAATAAAGAAATGCTTTGTGTAACAGGTAATATTTGAGCTGGATCTTGAAGGAAACTAGAACTTTTTTACCTGTAGAATTTCTACTCCTTTTCCTCCTCAAAAGCTTTCTTGTTGGTGGGAATGGAGAGGCGCAGGGATGTAGAGTATGTGGATATGGGAGTGGAGAGAATGGTTTCTATCAGAAGCAGAGTAGATATTCTTCCCTCTTGAGCCTCACAAAACACCTTATTTTGAAACTATTTAATGTATTTATCATTTAATGTTGCATGTTATAGTTACGTGTTTTCATCATATTCCCAATTAGACTGCAAGCTCTGTGAGAGAATGGACTGGGTATAATCTAAACCTCATACATGCCCCCCCACACAGAGCCTTCCACATGTTAGGCACTTAATAAATGTTTGTGGGTTCAATGAATGACATTTTTAGTGAGCCTTACTGGCTCATAGGGGTCGCCACTTGACTTTCTAAGTGCTCACAGATTATCCCTTAAAGAATCCATTCTAGTCTTTTGCCAGGAATTAATCTCAAACTCAGTGGTCTATATTTTGTTAAATCTGTCAAATGATACGTGCTTATTAATAGCTTTTAAATTTCCTTTAGATCAGTCATAGTTATGATACAGTAGAGTTTGGTTCTTGTGTGTTGAGAAAATGAGATATAACATATGCTGTCAGGCAGAGTTGATATGCTAGTTTTCTCGCACTGTTTTTTTTTTTCTTTTTCTTTCTTATTCCTCGTCACAAGGCAGGGATCACCAGCTATTGGGAGGAGAGGGATTTATTTGGAAATAAGGGTGATATAAAAACAAAATGTTTTTTAATAATTAAAAATAAACTAAAGCATATTCTTTCTTTGGACAAGGTTCTTAGATTAATAGATAAGGGGAATGTGCTAGAAATGATACCTCTGAATTTCAGCAAGTCTTTGACAAAATCCTGCATGATATCCTTCTGGCCAAGATTGGAGACATGTTGGCTAGATGACATGATAAGAGGATGGAGACTTGTTGACTGATTAGATCCAAAGAGTGATGCAATGACAACCCAGAGGTAGGTCTCTAATAGAGTGTTCTGGGGCTGTGTCCTAGGTTATATTCAGTTCAACATTTTTATCAGCAACTTTTATGAAGACATATGCTTACCAATAACATGCTCACCAAATCGGTGGGTGACATGAAGCTGAGAGAGAGAGAGAATTAATATATTGGATTATGGAATTGGGATCCCAAAAGATCTTGACAGATGGAAATGCTGGGCTAAAGATAATAAGATGAAATGATAAAGATATGTAAAGTTCTGTACTTTGGTTTAAAAATAATAATGCACAACTATAGGTTAGAGGCTCTGAGGGGTTTTAGTGGACATCAGTATGAATGAGTGAAAAGCATTTATTAAGCATTTACTATGTGCCAAGCACTATGTGAAGGGATGGAGATACAATATAAAAGTACGACAGATCTTGCCCTCAAGAAGCTTACATTCTAATGAGAGGAGACAGCACGTGTAGGGAAAGGGTGACAGAGAAAGGAATTATTTTCTGGGAAGTCATAAAGATTGTGAAGGGAACAATAGGGCAGTCCATCAAAACACCCTTTCCAGAGGTGATGGCAATATTGATCTGATTATAGTTCTCAGAATAAGAGGTAGAAAGGAGGTGTGTGTGTGTGTGTGTGTGTGTGTGTGTGTGTGTGTGTGTGTGTGTGTGTGTGTGTGTGGCAGGGGGACTTGGGGGATGGTAATGTACCAGGCATATGTACAGTGATATGGCAGCCAAAACTGCTGTCTTAGGCTGCATTATAGAAGTACAGTGTCCAGAATGAGGAAAGTGATAGTCCCATTAATATTCTTCCCTGGTCAGACCACATCTGAATTATTGTCTATTGGGTAAAGTTCACACTCTTTAACCTGACATTCAAGGCTCTGCACCATCTAGTGCAACTCAAATTTTTCAGTCTTTGCCCGTACTGTTACCTCAACTTAACTTTCCAATCCTGCCAACCTGGTCTAGTCTGTCTCTCATGCTCTGAGCTACTCATGCTATGTGCTTTCTTGCCTCTACAATGATGTCCAGTTTCCTACGCCTTCAAAGAGTTCCCTCTGCTTTCCACTTGTTGAATTCCTATCCATTCCTTAAGGCCAGACTCAAGTGCTGTGTCCTTCATAGAGCTTTCCCTGACCACCAAGAGTCAGTAATGGTTTTTTTCTCTTAAATCTCAGATGGTACTTGATTTGCTTCTCTTTTATGTATTTATGCATTATAGTTGTGTGTCTGTCATAATCCCCTATCAGACTATAATCCCCATAAAAACAGGCACCTTATCTAAACTTTGTGTCTTCCCAAGCACCTAGCATAGTGCTTTGTACATGGTAGGTTATTAATAAATGTTAAATCAAATACTGAATGCAGTTTCCTCATCCACATAAGGAGGAAGTTAGAGTAGTTTCCTTTTAGCTCTGAAATGCTATTGCAATAGAGTTGTGTCCAAGTGAAAGACTACGTTTGCCATGAGGCTCTAGGTTTTGAGGATATATAGGATTTTGATGCCTAGGAATTAAATTCCTTTGGGACTCTGTGACTGTGATGCAGTGTGATTATGTCAGGAGAATGATAGAGACTAGGAGGTCATGAGCGGGGAGGTTGGTCATAGGAGCACTCTGTGCATGAAGGGGATGACAATAAAGTCTGTGTTCTGACGGGCAGCTAGGTGGTACAGTGGATAGAGCACTGGCCCTGGAGTCAGGAGGATCTGAGTTCAAATCCAGTCTCAGACCAGACACTTGACACTTACTATCTGTGTGGCCCTGGGCAAGTCACTTAACCCTAATTGCCTCACCAATAAAACAAAACAGCAAAGAAAAAACAAATAACATCTACATTCTGGCTGTAGAGAGTAAGCTAAGGGGAACTAAAAGAGTCTATAGTGATATGACCGAGATAGTAAGTGGCAGCTAAAGCTGAAACTGTGAGTGGGCGTCTAGGTGCTACAAGAGCAGACCTTCCCAACTCATTCCAGCTGTGAAAGAGATATTTACCAAACTTTTCCCCCACACTAGAATGTAAATCTCAAGAAAATGTTTCCCCCACTACTGGCTTAGGGATAAGACCCTAGTTCCTGGGTAGGTAGGTACATATATATTGAGAGTACTGCTTTGCTTTTTTAAATGCCTGTCTTTGTCTTTTAAATGCATGCTATTTAGGTGATTATCTGGTCTGATGAAAATTAAATTTGGATGACCTTAGAAGTTCCAGCTTCCAAGTTGGGATGGGGGCTTGAGCCAAATGAGGTATATTTATCATCCAATATACTCTTCCCCACCCCTTTTTTTGGTTTTTGTCTTTTTGTGAGGCAATCAGGGTTATGTGACTTGTCCAGGGTCACACAGCCAGTGAATATCATGTGTCACCCAATACACTCTTACATTGACCTTAGTAATCAACATGAATTCGGAGGTGAGTGGCAGAGATGCTACACTAAAATTTTATGCGAATATGGATACAGGAGAGAAGCACACCATCACTTGCTGGGTAAAGACAAGCTAGGGAATAAGAAGCCTCTTCTTATATATGAGGCACAGTGAATCTCAGTGGCCATCTCCACTACTTTCCCCATCAAAGCCAGGGAAACTGATAGGCAGTGACAGGTTTGGGGAAGAAGAGAGGAGGCTTGCATTTCTTGAGAGCTGCCCTTCCCACCGTTGTCCCACTGGGAACTGGAAGAGTAGGGGCAAAGGTATCTAATTTACTTTAAGTCTTCTGTGACAGCAGGGCAGCACCTGTCACCCACTTTGCTCTGTGGGAATAATGATAATGTGGGGAGTACTTGACTCCATAATTCTTTTTGCACCATAGTCCAGATCTACTGCCCCACACACAAACGTGATGAGAGCCCCACAGAAAGAAGGAAAACTTTGTGGCTCAAATTTTCTCAAGGAACTGGACTTGAATCCTATTACATGTGACCTTAAGCAATTTATTTAACTTCTCTGGGACTCAGTTCGCCCATTTGTAAAATGATAAGGCTAAATCAGATCCTTAAGGTTTATGTCCTATAACATGTGAGGAGACAAGCATCCTAAGGCAGTTTCCAACTCAGTGGTCATGTGCTATTAGCTCTGAACAAAACCAGCTGCAGTCTGATTAGGAGGAAAGGGATGGGGGATGGCCACCCCACTGAAATACAAACTGGGGCAAGTCCTTATCTCTGGCTTCAGTCATTCTGACATCTGATCTGTTCTTCAATCTGGTCTTCCCTTCCCCCTTCTGAATTTGACTTGTCCTTACACCTTAAATTTCCCCATAGATTTGCCACTTCCTCTACTCTTAATTTATCTGCTCCTTGACTGCAACTAGAAATCTGGTTTCCTCTCTCCCTTCCCCCTGAACTGCCTCTTGGACCTTGGTAGTGGCAGACTGTGTTATTTCCACCCTGCTGGGGTACTTAGTCCCACCAGTGCAGGTCAGGACAAGAAAGTTCCCAGAAGCAACAAGGCAAAGTTTTATCCTATAAACACAAAGTCCTGACCCTGTCCAGGCTGTCTTGATGTAGGGGAATAGAGCCAGGCAGGAAAGTGGGTGGAGTTTGTTTTATTCAAGACACAGTAATAGCAATAGATTTCAAGGTCACAGAACTCTAGCACATTCCTAGAGTGATGACAGCCAGGGGGGTAAAGTCAGACACAACTAATCAGAGTTCCCAGTGGACACAATGCTAATAGGCCTTTCCTTCCAGAGACAGTGGAGAGACAAGCCAGTGGAACCCAGGAGGGCTGCAGCAGGGCAAAGAAAAGGAAAAGGGGTTTGGAGGAGGGTGCCCAACTGGAACTGGCTCCCAAAGAAGTCTGTTCAAGGACAGAGTCCAGACATAGTTTCCACCCTCCCCTCACCAGAAGAATATTCAATTCTCTCAAAAGAGTGAATGTGGGGTATCACATTCCAAGGGGCTTAAATGTATATATGATTTGGACGTGTAGATGGTCAGGTTGTTGAATCGATGTAGGGTGGGACTGGGAAGAATGATAACATATGGTTAAAGTTGTGAAGATATGGAATAGACGTGAGGGTATGTGTATGTTTTTAGAATGTGGAATATAGGGTTGGGGTGGTTCCACATATTCCTATGTGGAATAGATACACTTGAATGACTTTATAAGACAGTTAAGCTATAACATGGATAAAAGGAAAAGTTAGGGGCCTGAAGAGTGTCTTTGGGTAAGGGCATAGGATCCACGTATCTATAGGAGCAATTGGGAAGGTGTACCTTGGGTGTATGGGGGATGTAACGGACAAAGGGAGTGTAATAGGAAGGAAGGCTGATGACTAGATTTGTGTCAGCATATGTAGAATGGCTTTGAAGGGAAAGAAGACTGTTTGGCTATATATACAGTCCAAGGAAGGGAGACAAATTACACTTGAGTCCCCTCATTTCCACACTACTTTTCCCCTGGAATTAGACTTCATCAAATCTATTATCCAGACGTTGGTGAAGGTGGGACTGAATCCCAGCCCCTGCCCAGTGGTGTTTGTGCCTGGTAGCCTGTTCATTTACCAGATGGATTGGAATCAACTCCACTTGTGTTGAACATGAAGTAAAACTGGTTCCCCTTCCCTCACTCTCAAGCTCCCCTCCTGGGGGAGAAGGATGAAGGTGCAATGAATGAATGAAACCAAGGTAGAGAGCAGGTAACAAATGGGAGTGTGCCTAAGAAATTAGCATCCCTGGCTACCTTCTGGGTATGCTGCTGATCTGACTGACCTGGGCTCCCAAACTCTATGGTGTAAACCTGTGGAAAGCCTGAAGAGGCCAGAGAGCACTTGGTCTGGGTCTCCCACGCTGCTCTGCAATGGAAAGGATCCTTCCTTTCCCCTCATTAGCTGGTTTAAAAGAGAAAAAATAAAGCCCTTTGGCTTAGTAATTTTACTTTTAGGGTTTAGTAAGTTATAATCTCCTCCTCTCCCAGTTTGCTCCTTTTTCCTTGCCCTGCTCCATCAGTATAACCCAGTTCCACTCTGGGATAAGGTCCCTCCTTTCCCCAATCCCTCCACCATTTCTAGTACCACCTGGTCAACCCAAAGAATAGGCAAAGCACTTTGGGTAAATGAGCATTTTTCATCACTAGAGCTCCAGCTTCAACCAGAATGGGATTGGGTGCATGAGTGCATGTGTGTAATAGGATAGCTCCTTGCATTAGAAACTGGTGCATCTGCCACTTAAAGTACCTCTCTTAGGTTTGAGGATTTCCAAACACCGAGAAACTGCCAAGAAAATTCCAGAGGCTGTGTCAATAAGTGAGGGTCATTCAGGTCTTCAAGAGAGAGTATCCTATTCCCACTTTTCCTCTCCTCCAACAGGGAAGCATTAGATCAGAGCTCAGGAACAAACACTGTCCTTGGCTCATTCCCAAGCTCTGACTACACCACCAGAGGTACTCTTTTTTTTTAACTTCCTGTACCAACTGTTGGGTGGCACTGCCAAGGCCCAGTACATGTGGCAGCCCATTATATATCCCAGAGCTGTCTGCACGGGAGTCGAGAGAGATGGTAGAAGCGACAGTTCTTAATATCCATTTCCCACAGTCCTCCTCTTGCCTCTCTTCAGACTTTGAACTGATTAAGCCCCAAGAAGAGAGCAGCATTAATGATAGAGGGAGCCCATCTTGGGAACATAGATGGGTGCAGCATGACTTAAGATAACGGGTGTTCATTGTCCAAGTTAGATGATAGCTTCCCATCCATCATTCTAGGCTTCCTTCTGCTGGGGATTGAGGGAGGCTGGAAGAAAAAGCGGCCAGCAGCAGCGTCTGGGCTGTGGGTCAACGTGGGGGTGAAGGCAGAAGTCTCCAACAAACAGGAAATTGTTTCTATTCCCTTTGACATAGTAATATCTCACCTGGGTCCCCCTCCCAGACAAGACAGAGACCAGCAAAGGGAAGCTTGAAGAGATGATTGAACACAAAGTCATGATGTCCTGTTTGGGGGATAGGGGTTAGTCACCATCCTAAGGTTTGGGCAGGGGCTTCTTACCATCAGCTGCTAGTCACTTTGGTCCTGTCCTGGACCAGAGGCACTCACATGGCAGCTAGCAGGAAACATTTCACATGGCTGCCACCCTTACCATTCTGTTGGAACTGAGTGAGATGATCAATTCCTGGGTGAATGTGAGATGGGATGGCCAATGCTTTACATCTCTCAGTACTTTTGGATGAATGCCTACTTCTTTCTCTTTTACCCCCCCCCCCAACTTCTACAAATGTTTGGAGGACTCTAACATCTTCTTGAGGATTCTACTCCTATTGACTTCTGCCCTCACTTGGGCAGGTCATTGAGCATGGGGCCAAGGTTCTCTTGTCTTCCCTCTCTTCCTCTTCTGCCTTACCTTATTTCAACACTATTCTGCCCAGAGAAATCTAGCAAATGGCAGGAAAGAGGAAGAAGAGGAGTGGAGGCAAGACAGGTGACAACCCAAAAGAATTCCTTCAATGTAATCCTTGGTTCTGGCTATTCATGTATCTATATTTCTGGCTAGGGTGAGGCCTCAAGGGCCACAGGAATCCCTTCTTTTTAGAGAGAATATTTTTTTTTCTCATGAACTCTTATTTGGGGAAAACCTCCAACCCCAGGAATTCGGGGAGGCATCTTCCTCTAATCCTGAGGTGGGAGAGACTAAGGAGCTCCCCTTCTTAGGGTTGGCCAGCCCAGCCCATTTTCTTGCTCCTTGATGATTCTGCCAGCCACAAAACAGCAGAGATCTCTTTGGGTCTCCAGGGGAAGGAGTACTGAAAGGATTATTTGAGTGGCAGCTCTTCCGAAAGGCAAACACATTGGAGAAGGGCTTTCAGAGGCTGCTGAGCAAAAGGATAAGGTACCCCTTTGGACCCCTCTCTCCTGCTCTTCCTTTTTCTCATCTGCTTTTAAGGAAGTACAAATATCAATTCCTAGGTCTGAGGCACTGGCTGCCCCTTCTGAGACATGGAGCTTGCTAGCACTTTCAGTCCAGAGGGCCAGACTGCATCTTCCACCAGATTCACTTTCTAGCCAGTCAAATGTGACTGGGATCTCTTAACCTGCCAATGCCCAGGGATGGAGGCAGGATTACAACTGGCAGCCTTAGAGGATTTGGGGGAGTGGGCATGTGGGTTGAAAGGAAGGGGGAGATTGGATCTACCCTTCTACTCCCTGCCATGTTCTTCTCTTCTTGCTGACATTCCACCTGGTGTGGGAGCACCTTTGGTGGTGGTGATGGGTGATGTGATCCTTATTAATTGTGGTCTTCTATTAATAGCCCCTCTTGGAACTCGCCCTCGGCAGTCTCCACTTCTGATGAAAAGCTCTGTGGCTCACTTTCCTCCTCCCTATCCAAGGCATCCAGCTGGCTGCTCATGGTGCCATAGGACTGACGGCCCGGAGACGTGGCTGGAGTCAGGCTCATCTCTAGTTCCTGAAGCACCGGGGCCACATACAACTGGCGCCCCCCAGACAAGAAAAAAGGAAAGAGAGTAGGAAGTCATACCCAAGTATGATTCATGGCTTGTTCCCAGTGCTAAACTCTCTTGCTTCAAGCCCCAGTATGCAGGGAGTGATGTAATCCCTTAAGCTCCATAAGCCTTGATTTCCTATGCCCTCCCCCCTTCCCCCCCCCACACCAAAAAGTAAGTCTTATTTATGGCACTCCTGTTCAGGGCTCTTAGGTTACTGTTTTTCTTACTGAAAACGCAGGGGGAGGTGGGATTTCATGGGAGCCATGGGAGAATTTGCCCACAACAACTGCAGCTTTAATTTCAAACAGCTCCTTAAGGGTACCTTTTGGTCACCATCCCCACTCTGACTCCTAGTAAGCCGTGAATTCCTGGAGCTCAGGGACTGTGCTGTCTTTTCATCTCTGTTGCCTTCTGAGAGGCAGCATAGCCTGGGTTCGGGTCCTGTCTCTTAACACATACTGGCTGTGTGCCCCCTGGGCAGATCACTTAAGTGCCTTAGGCCAGAGGATGTCCTTACTGTCCTAGGGGACGTGTAGCCTGAAAACCTCAAGAATGCTGCTGCCCAAACCAGATAAAAACGGAATTGGGAAACGTTTAACGAAATAGATGAAAATACAATAAAACACAGATAATGTTAATTGGAGGTTTTCTAAGTCAATATGTGGCCATAGGGATCTGTTTCTTTTTGAGTCTGATACTCCTGCTCCAGGAAATTCTAAAACTATAAATCACAAAGAAGGTACTGACCTGCTCTAATACAGGTAGCTTCCTTACCTGGGTCTGCCCGTGCATATGTCAGTGAAATCATAGGCCCAGTACTTAATCCCTATTTGTAGCCCTCATCACAAGGAAGACAGTAGGTACTTAGTCAATTGATTTTGTGCCATCGCCTAGAGCACTGAGAAGAATCACATAGCCAGTAGGTGTTAGAGGCAGCCCTTGAAGCAGGCCTTTGGGAGCCTGAGACCCGTTCTCTATCCATTATGCCACACTGCCTCCCCACCTACCTTGTTGCTTTTGTGTGTTGTGGGTCAAAAGAAAGAGCAAGGCTGAGAGCCGCTACTCTAGGCTTCCCCCTTTTCTCCCAAGCTGAAATATGACCTCTTCTATTCCTTAGCTCCCTTCAAGCCAGATATCAGCACCAACTGAAGGAACCCTACAGAGGCCCATGGGAGGAGAGCAAGGGAGGTACTGGAGGTTTCATTTACTTCCTCATGTCCTTATAGGAAGGAGGGCTTTTTAAAAAATGGTGCCAGATGATCAGACAGAACATAGACATGGTCTATTCTGCATACTGGATAGTACAGTTATCCTTTCCACGTCACAGGGGTTAGTGGCATGGCACCCTGGCAACCTGAAAAATTCGTGTAAAATTTTTTGGCCCTCCCTTCACACCAGAGAAGAAGTCTGAATTTTTCCTTTTTCTTTTATGGGGTATTGATATGACACAATACTATACATGTATTTTATGCATTTTTGAGTTTCTAAACTTTTTCTGTCATCTGCTGGCCTTTGCATGTCATCTGCGGCTTCTGCAAGACTCCCTCCAAATTCCTATTTAATTTCTTATGCCAACCCATGACATATGGAAACCACGATGGGGAAAGTCATGATGTGCAAGGGATAACTATTTCCATGGAGCCTGATGCTTTATATATGTGCAAAGAAAAAGTGACAACATTATCACACTTTACAATAGGAGGGACTGGATATAAAATTTCACTAGCACAAGGAATTACTGGTTGAGGATTTACCCTCTAACAGTGCAGGTCAGCTCCTTCTCTGTAATTTAGTCTTAGAAAATTGTATAGAGCACTAAATGCTTGGGTGCCTTGTTCAGGGTCATACAGCCAAGCATGTGTCGAAGGTGAGTGACTTGAACTCAGATTTTCTTGTCCTGAAGGCTGACTCTCTATATCCAATATGTCACCCACTGGCAGACAATTTTATCCAGTAAAGCAAATGATTAGAGGAGGTTTTGGGGTGGAAAAATCTCAACATATTTTACAACAATAAATAATAACAGAATTTTGAGAGTCTAAGGCTGTTTGAGGGTAGTGGGAAAAGCATTGGCATTAGAATGCTCTGGATTTGGGTTCGAGTCTTATCTGCCAGTCTGCATGACTGCTCTCCAAACCTCAGTTTTCTCAGATAAGACTCAAACCCCAGTCCAGAACATTCTAATGCCAATAATGGATATAATACTTTACAATTTCCCAAGGCTGTTGTGAGCAACACACTTTACAACCCTTTAAAGAACTATAGAAATGCTAGTTATCATTTGTTATTGCTGTCATCTTCTTTCAAAAAGTTAAGATGCCTATAAATGTTTTCTTTTGTTTAAGGGATACTCTGATTATGGCTGGTGAATACGTATGCACATATATACATATATATTTGATATTGTATATGAACTTATTATAGCTATGAATTCATATATATGTGTATATTAACTTGTATTATAGATGAACTTAGGTATAGATGAGCCAGGTATGAATGTTCAGCCACATGGGACAGCACTGGGTGAAGCTACCGTGAGCTGACCCAGACTGAAAATATCTTCATGTGTGTGACCTTTTAATCCAAGAGCAGCTTGTGGTTCAGGCGTTATAATAGTGACTACCCTATATCAGAAAGCATTGCTTTCATTGAAAAGGAGTGGAAAGAGAGGTAGGTTCTTTACTCAAAATTATTTCATCAGCTTGTTCTCTCCCTGAGGTTACAAAAGTTGCTCTCTTAAGGCTTGTGAATATTGAGCCCAATTTGTTACTGTCAGAATGATAGACATATCTTACCCTTCTGTTCAGACTTTGATTCTCTCCTTTCTGCTCTGTTCTCTGGCTGTCCAGCACCTGATCTCATTGGAAGGTAGCTGATCTCATCTGAAGGTAGCTCTTCATTTTACACGCTTTTTCTGAGGGGTAAGGGAACTTCTGTCTATATCTCCCCTGATTCCACTTTCTCAAGTCTCTGCTGCTTTTGGATTTTTTTCTATTTAACTATACCTGCCACATGAGAGTCTTTCCCCTGAACCAATGCCTTGTCTGTCAGTGGAGGGAAGTCCGTGGGATCCCTCTCCCACCTCATTGGGCCTTGGCAATGATGGCTTGCCTGCCTCCCCCAAGATCTTGACCCTACCAGCGCCTCACTCATCCTCACTCTATCCTCCCCAACCTCTTTCACATCCAGAGGGGCAGGGGTGTGACTCACATCGCACATGAAAGTAGAGGAAGAAACACTTCTTCGAAGACTGAATCCGCTAGAGTCTGTATCTGACGGCTCTCTCTGTTGCAAAGAAAGGAAGACAGTGCAGCTCAGAATATAAGGACCTTACTGCTTAGATCTAGTGGTGGGGTTTAGGTCTCCAGTGGAGTGACCCTCTCCTAGCCCTCAAACTTACCTTCTTGATATATTACTCTAATCCAAAGGAAGAGGCATAGTTGGCAAACTGTTCCTGAAAGAGATGGCAGGCTTTGATATGGGCTTCTCCTATTCTAAAGGGCCATCATGAAGGGGAGCTAAGGAGAAAATGGAACTGGGGACCTGGATCAATCTCCTTTGGTAGCCTGGTGGGGAGGGAAGAGAGATGGTTCCCAAAGTACCAACCTTTTCTTCCCTTCTGGTTTCAGGATTGCTAAAATCACAGACGAGTATACTTTGTTCTCTGGACCATGAGGTTAAGAATCCCTGTCTGAAACTTAGGTGAATCAGACGGACTTTCAAATCCAAACAAACGGCATAGCTATCTTTTCGGTTCGGAGCTAGTGTCTCCAAACATCGCGTGACATACAAATATGGTTAAAAGTGAGAAGGGGAAGAGGAGTGCAAAGTGCCCTTAGTATTCTTCTAATCTTCAGTCCAGAATGACGTATCGGAACAAGTCCTGGAACAAGGAAGGCCAGGAGGGAGTAAATGAGAGTGGCAGAATCCCAGGAGGAAAGAAGGGGCCACTGGGCTTACCTCAGAGTCAGGCTGTTTCCTCCAAAACTTCCCAAAGCAAAGACTAATGAAGGAAGTCACGATGGAAGCGAGGAGGGTCGTAAAGGCAAAGAGAGTGATGGGATGAAGGCTACCTACGAGGGGAGAGAGAACTATCATGGGGTTTATGCTCACAGATAATCATCCTTCCCCTTAGCATCCCAAACCCTTCAACCTGCTTCCAAGACCACAATTCAGGGGCCATCTGAGAAGACAACATACCCAGCAGAAGCCTAGCCACACCCTCCGAATATCTCCAGAGTGACCCTAACCACTTGACTCATAATCTGCAGCTTTAGCACTGTACTGGGCACATAATAGTGCTTATTAAATACTTGTTGATTAATAAGGCTGCTTAACTGCCTTAGAACATTGGAAGGGAATCTTCTCCTTGTCCTCCCAACCCTGGAGGAGCCCAGTCTTCTCTCTTTGAATCTCTAGGGACAAAAGCAGACATCAGATTATTTTGCCATCCCACCTGACCAAAATACACACCTTAAGTTTGGGATGCTGTATTTCAAGGTTTGTCTGCACTGAAAGGCACAAAAGATATTTTCTCTCTTTCCTCAAGTGCAACCAGATGAATGTAGGAACCTCCTTCATCTGAACCACCAAAATGTACCCTTCTTATTTATCTATGTGGTTTTTAATTTGTTTATTCAGCTCCTCATTCATCTATTCCTTTGTCTATTGATCTATCTGCTTATATGGTAATTCCTTCAATTAAACTACATTTTTATTGATACCTTTTGGTTTTCTATCACCTGAATTTCTCTATCATCCTCCCAGAGACCCATCATTTGCAACAAAGAATTTCTTTCTCTCTTTTAAATCCTAATTCAAGGCAATCTTTCTTTTCTATGTTCCAAGCTATAAATTCTGTTACTTGCTCTGTTGATTTCATTCCATGTTTCGTCCATTCTCTTCTGTGATCTAATAAACTCCTTGAGGACAATAGCCTTGGGTAATCTTTGGTATATACTCCTCAGGAGTCTAGAATATACCCCTAGGCTTCACTCAGTAAAAGCATTTGGAATTCAAGTACTACCTACCCACTCCTCCACTCCCAACTGGCATTTTCTATGACCATAGAGTTCACTTTGGTTACCTTAGGAGCCCAGCTATTCACAAAGTCAAAACATCTTAAGGATTGGGGAAGGGACTGGTGAGAGAAATGGGAATGGCCCTACCTAGGCGGACAATGAAGAAGAAGAGCAGCCAGAACATAGAAAGGAGGGATGCCAGGATCACCTGGTAAACTCCCACCATATGAAAGTCTTCTTTAAGTTTGGTAGGGGCGTAGGTGTAATACAAGTTGCACTTATCAGTAATATGCTTCATACAGACATAAAGCAGCCCTAGAAGAGGAGAAAGAAAGAGAAGAAGAGGAAGAAGAGAAGAGAGAGACCCATTAAGAGGCAGCTCAGATAGCCCAAGCCTACTTTGCTTCCCCCTTCCCTTTCTGAACTCTTTCCCAAACATCCCAACTGAAAAAATAAAAATCAGGACCCATTTAGAGGTGAATACCCTGGACTTCCCTCAGGAGACAGCCTTGGCTGAACATTGGACTGGTGGTACTTTTTAGGGACAAACTTCATTTTTTAATATAACTTTTAATTTATCTTACTTTCTTTTTCAATTAATAAGCATTTGTTTTCTCTCCCTGTCATCTCCCATTCCCCCATTCCCTCCACTAGAAAAGAAAAACAAAACCCTCATAATAAATGTGTCACCAAACAAAATTAATTTCTGCATAGGATATGTTAAAAATGTATGTTTCATTTTTCATCTTAAGGATAACCTTAATTTTTGACCCTTTAAATTTATGCCAGGGAACAAGATCACCCCTAAAAGCCTTAACATCAATGGGAATGTTCTTGGTCAACTTGGTGAAGGTAGTTAACTTTAGCTCCACCTCTATCCTCTAAGGTGTTTCCATTGGAACAGAGACTATCACCTCCCTCCCCCAGACTTGGGGGTAACAGTCATGAATTCTTGAGACACTGGTGACTTCGGAATAAAATCTGGAATAACCACAAATGTGAATTTGGAATAAATTTGGATATGGAGACCAAGACATATAGGAAAGGCTTATGGCTCACCTGGACTTAAGCAAACCTCTATTTTCTGTAGTTTGTATCATAATAATTTTGCCTTAGGATTGATAATCCCCTTCTTGCCTTCCTCTGGAGTCACTATGACCAGCTGTCCATCCTTATTTCCTTCCCACCTCCTGACCTTGTTCCAGAGATCAGCCTTGATTTCAGAGGTAGGGGGAAATGATAGCAGATAGAAAAAGGAATAATGGTACCAATCCCTCTCAAGGCCCTGGAGTCAAGAACAGCTAGGAAAATGGGAAAAGTGGCTTGATTAACAGACCAGGGGAGCACACTCCCTCTCTTCTGGATGACTGAAGGGAAAAAGTGGAAGAAAGCAAAAAAGGGAAGGGAAAGGATATGAAGCAGTGAGAGAGAGGAGGGTTAGACTAGAGCAGGGGTTGTTTACCTGGGATCCAACTTGTTTCTTTCTTTTTAAAAAATAATTTCTTAATTATATTTCAACATAGGTGGCTCCTTGGTAATCCTATATATTTTATTTCATGTACTTAAAAACGTTATTCTGAGGAGCAGGCCATAGACTTTGCCCACCGGACTACTGAAGGGATACATGGCACAAAAAAGGTTTAAAACTTATGGACTAGAGGAATAGGTTTGGAAATGAGGGATAGAGAAAAGGAGACAGATGTGGAATCTAAGAAAGTGAAATCAGGCTTTCTAGTGTTTCCATCAGTATGATACATCTAGATAGACACAAGGTTGGAGGTGAGATTGGGAGAACCATGGAGAGTTGTACATTTGTGGTTAGCCACTCAGAAGAAATGGAATGGAATTAAAGCCGAATATTAATTCCATTTTGTTCTGCTTGCTCTTTCTCCAGGTCAGTTTCTGAGGAAAAAGGTTGAGGACTGGAAGACAGAGGTTGGATGAGACTATTTCTAATAAAAAATTGGTCAAGTTGCCAGTGTGAGGTAAATCTACACTTTTGGAACTCTCTCAGAGTTGGGGGGCAGAACTAATGATTCACTTTAGTCCCTTATGATGTCACTTAAGAGGCTACCAATCCCCAGAAATACCATCTCAAGTCCTTGCACTGTGAGAATTGGCTTATTTGGTTAATCAGAGACACACAGAGTTAGGTGATGAATTCCCTCATCCCTCAGGAGGAGAACTTACCAAATGGGACAATGATGGGGCAGGTGATGCTATATGCCATCACAACACTGACAACACAAGCCATCCAGGAATATTCCCGTCCATACTTGAAAGTTCTGACTTGCCTCTACAATGGAAAGGATGGTACTCTTATTATCCAGAAGGTCTTTGGACTTTCTCCATTGTGGCTGCTTCTCCTGCTCTTTTGCCTTGCCTTTTAGATCCATGTACCTAGATATGGCTCTCCCGAGAGAATTGTTTCACTGTCTCATACCATCTCTGTACATATCCAGCTCATCATCCCTTCTTTGGAGGCCCTCAGCTGCTTTATCTTAGTGTCTTCATCAGGGTAATGAAGGGAAGCTATGATCTTCATGCAAGAAAGGCAGAAACAAAGGTTGTTTGGGCTGTGGGGGGTGGGAGTGGGGATGGCAGGCAGAGGGCTCTTACCTGCCTGATGTTTACTCGTTCAGCTTCAGATTTGGAGAACAGGAGGCGTATAATGTAGTAGAGAAGTGACTCCATTCGCATCATTTCACTGCCCATGCCAATCAGACTAGAGGTGATGACATAGTTAACAAAGAGGGCCCCATTGTCAGGAAGGAACACACACCTGCAAGGTCCAGAAATCAGGATGGTGAGGGGGTGGTAAGAAAAGGCAAAGGAATAAAAGAAAGGGAAACCAAGGGGAGGGAAGGTAGAAGAAGAAAAGAAACGGACAGTGAGGTAAAAGTCAAGATCAATATAGGAAAAGGAAAAAAAAAGAAAGAGAAGAGGGAAAAAAAGGAGGGGAACACAAAAAGTCAGGAAGAGGAGAAAAAGTATTATATGAATGTATTCCCCACACAATGAAAGAAGGAAGGATAGAAAGAAGGAAGGAAGAAAACATTAAGCACCTACTGTGTGCTGGGCACTGTGCTAAGCACTTTATAAATATTATCTCACTTGATCCTCACAGCCTCCTCAGCACCCTCAGAACGCCTTTCCCCTCTGATTAGAGGGCTGGAGGGTGGAACAACATATTCTCCCCAAAGCCTCCCTTTATGGAGGGCTCTACTTCATTTCCATCAACTACTCCTCAGGACCAAGTCCATAAACATCATGCCCCTGGGGCTGCCGTCCACTATCCTTCAGCCCCTGGAGGGCAGAAACTGTCTTTCTTTTTCTTATTTGTATTCCAAGTGCTGAACATAGTGTCCGGCACACAGTAGGTTCTTCATAAATGTTTACTGACTGAGATTATGACAACAATTCTGGGAGATGGGTGCTATTAGAATCCCCACTTCACAGCTGAGGAAACAAATAGAGAGAAGTTAAATGACTAGCCCAGGATCACAATGAGTGACAGACAGCAAGCGTCTAAGGCAGGATTTGACCTCAGGTCTTCCCAACTTCAGCCCGGCATTCTATCCACTGAGCCCTGTAGCTACCTAGGTAAAAGACTGGCTCTTTGTGAATGTGGCAGCTGGATGAAGGGCAAAGACACTTATCATTGTATCGTCACACGTGTAAGTACAGGCCTTCCCCTACTACTGTACATACATATGTAAACATAAGCTTAAGCAGGCATATACAAACATATAGCCTTGGGTAGATGAACATACATGTTTGACGTGACATACCAACAATTTATAGTTACAAATATGTTCACGGTAGACACACCAAGAGGCAATGGCCATGAGTACTCACTGGAACTTCATTTCTGCACGGTCCAAAAAGGATTTGTCAAAGAGCCATTGGAAGAAAAGATCCAAACTTGAAGGAAGAATGGAAACAGAAAATTAGCAATAAATCAAATATCCCATTTTTCTCTACCTACCCCTTTCTCCACAGCCTCTGGTTCTCAGCTCTTCCTTGTGTTCAAATCCCAGTGATTCCACTAGGTGCATCCCTTCAATGTCCCCAAATATACCAAATATACTAAGTCCATGTCTCCCTGCTCTTCCTCTTCCAATGGCTACTCTTAGAACACACTGCTTCCTCATCTTTTTGCTTATTCAAGTCTAACATGGCTAGTCTCAGATCTCTTCTCCTCCATGCAATGTTCCTGACCACTCTAGCCAACAATTCCCTTTCCCTCTTTAGAAGCCATCAAGCACTTCAGAGACTCATGCTATCATAGAGCTGGAAGGGACCCTCTGTCTCCACCTCAGATCATCTAGCCCAGCTTACCTACCTAATGTGGGGATCACTTATACAACATCTCTGACAAGCAGGCAATAGTCTCTGTTTACCGGCCTCCCATAAGAGGGATAGCCCAGCCTTGAAATCAAAAAGATATGAGTTTAAGTCTAGAATTTAATACATACTGGCGATGTCATCTCAGATATGTCTTAACCACTTAGTCTCTAGGCAACTGCCCAAGATTCCAAGTTGCAGAGAATGTGCCAACCTGCATTGGTAGAGGGAATTTCCTCACATGGGAGTTCCTTATACCAATTAAATCACAGGTTAAATCTAATCCCTATATAATTTTTCAGAAACTTCCTTTTTATATTGAATTGAAATGTTTCCTGTAAATTTTGTTCATTTTTTCTCTTGAAATTTTTTTGGTATCTCAAAAGTCTTTTTTTTTTAAATCCAGGACTTAATAAACACCAAATAAAATTAATGTTCTTATAAAACATAGTAGAACAGAAGAAGATTGTATATGAATCTATGAATCTCTATTACATAACAGCTTGCTTTTCTTTTCAAGCATATAATAAATTTAACATGTAATTTTCAAAGCTGTCCTGCTTGTCTGTGATTCTTTCTGGCCTTCTCTTTGGTTAAAATTGTTCCAATGACCTTCTCTTCTTTCTCTGTTGTTTCTGCTTCTTCTTCTGATTCCTCTTCTTCTTCTTCTTTCTCCTCTCCCTCCTCCTCCTCCTCCTCCTCCTCCTCCTCTCCTATCCTTGTTTCCCCTCTCCTTTCCATCCCTACCCCACTGGAAAAGAAAAAAACAACCCTTGTAACAAATATAATTAATCAAGCAAAGTAAATTTGCCCATTGGTTCTGACCAAAAATGTATTTATTTAATAAATAAATCTTGAGTCCACAACCTTTCTTCTGTCAGGATGTGAGTAATAGGTTTTGTCATTGATATTGTGGACTCCTGGTACCTGCTGGAATTTCAGTGAATATCTACCATCCTTTTTATATGATGGCTCTACAAATAGTTGAAGATGGAAATCATATTCCTTCAAAGTCTTTTCTCCAGGCACAACAAGGTTGGCTCTTTTAACCTTTGTATAGCAAGTTTGAGTATCCTTAACGTACTAGTTACCACCCTTAAATATTGTCCCAAGTTAAATGTCAATGTACCAGGCTAAATATGGTACCCCCATTTTGAACCCATGACTTAGGATGTGATTTGTCCAGGGACTATCACTTCCCTTGTTCTGGGCACTCAGTACATTTTATTTGTGTACCCTAAGAAAACATTAAGTTTTTTTTTTAGCGTGGTTACATAACTGTTGACAAATGTATATGTCTCCTTAAATAGATTATAAACTCCCTAAAACCAATACTTCATAACTCCCACAGCATCTGGAACTGTATTGGGCATGTAGTGGCTTCCAATAAAGACTGGCTGAATTGAATTATAGTGTTTGCATCCTCTGGTGTGCAGGGAGATAGAATGATGACTGCTGGATATGCTATGCCTACCTGGTCAGTCCTAACGAAGGCAAGATGATCACCATGAACACCAGGAAGAAGTAACACTTATATACTGTGAACAGATTTCTGTGTGACCTAGGGGACAAAAGGAAGGAAATATTCAGTGATTAGGAAGAAGCAAAAGAGAATCAAAGAGACTGAATTTCTGCACAACCTAAAAAGAAATATCAGAAGAACTGACATCCCTATGAAGTCTGAATTATCATAGGACCTTAATCCCTCTTATCTTTGTCTTAAAACCATATTCATAGACAGCAACAGGCAATGATGATTTTCTACTGGGCTAGTATGGACCTTTCAAAGAATGCTCATGTTTTCTCATAGGGAGTTTTGTCTACAGGGACAGCAAGCTAGAGGGACCATTTGGGAGAATCGGTTGTTCTCCTTCCAATAGAACTACAACAGGCTATGGGTATGGAATGCCGCATTTAACATCATATATGGCTGATATGTTAATTTGTTTTGTTTAACTGTTTTGTTACAAAGAAGGATTATGTATAGTGGAGGAAGCAGGTTACTAGAAAGTGGGGATGATATAAAAAGAATTCATAGCATCAATATTACTTAAAATAGTCTCTTTTGAACCTTAAGTTATTGTATAAAGTAGGAGAGAAGAAAAAATAGTGTTTTGATTTTATAACCCCCTTCTGATCAGGTACCCAATTATTTTTATCATCTAACTTTCACCTCTAGTAGTCTACTGTCTTTTTGTTCCCCCATTAAAATGGTAACTAAGTCACTTAAGCACTCTCAGCCTCAGCTTCCTCATCTGTAAAATGGGGATAATAATAGCACCTACCTCACTCACAGCAGGTCAGCTACATTCAAAGGGTAAAGGAATTAACCTTGTTGTGCCTGGTGAAAAGAAGACTTAGAAGAAACATGGTTTCCATCTTCAACTATCTCATCACACATGTTATGATGATGAGATGAGGTTGTTGTGATGAAATATGTACAGTGTTTTGAAAACCTTAAAACACTATGTAAATGTTACCTATTATTGTTATTATTGTTGCCATTACTATTATAGATAGATGGGATAAATGTAGTCCCAGCAGGTCATCTTCTTACTCAGGAATAAGGCAAAACAAGATGATGGCTGAGAAATAAGATCAAAGACATGGGATATAGATTTACATGGTCAAAGTTGAAGGCCAAGGTCAAAGCTGGGAGAATAAAAATAATAAATGAGAGGGCTGACCCCTGAGGGCTCTTTCAGCTCTAATATGGTCTCCTATGATCCCACGAATTTGCTGGTGATTTGAAGTTTACAAAGTACTTTATATTTGTTGTGGTGGTTCAGTAATTTTAGTCATTTCTGACTTTTAGTGACCTCACTTGGGGTTTTCTTGGCAGAGATACTGGAGTGATTTGCCATTTCCTTTTCCATCTCATTTTGCAGATAAGGAAACTGAGGCAAACAGAGTTAAATGACTTGCCCAGGGTCACAAGCTAGCAAGTATCTGAGGCCAGATTTGAACTCAGCAAGATGAATCTTCCTGACTCTAGGCCCAGCACTTTATCCACTGTCCTACCTGCCCATATGTATGTACTCTACATAAATTTTCTCATTTGAACCTTATAGTAACTGTGTAGGAGGTACGCCGGGCATTATCTCTTCTTGACAGATTGAGGAAACTGAGACTCAGAGAGTTGAGATGACTTGCTCATGGTTGTTCCACAGCCTGCTAAATGTGAATTTGGGGTATGAATTCAAGTTTTCCTGACTCCCACTTTGGCCCTCAGCCAACTATGGCACATTGAATCAGCATGGCCCAGGTTGAGGAAGGAATGATGGGAAAAATTCTATTTTCTCCTAACCCTCTCAAGTCCTTCTTTCAAGGCTTCCTTCTTTCAACATGTACAAAATATAGCAGCTCTTTTTTTGGTGGCAAAGAATTGGAAATTGAGGGGATGCCCATCAATTGGGGAATGGCTGAACAAGTTGTGGTATATGAATGTGATGGAATATTATTGTTCCATAAGAAATGATGAGCAGGTGGGCTTTAGAAATACCTGGAAAGACTTACATGAACTGATGCTGAGTGAGGTGCAGAACCAGGAGAGCACTGTACACAGTAATAGCAACATTGTGTGATGACCAACTTTGATAGACTTACCTCATCTTAGCAATGCAAGGATCTAAGGCAACTCCAAAAGACTCATGATGGAAAATTCAATCACATCCAGAGAAAGAACTATGGAGTCTGAATGCAGATCGAAGCATACTATTTGCGCTCTCTCTCTCTCTCTCCTCTCTCTCTCTCTCTCTCTCTCTCTCTCTCTCTCTTTTTCTTTTTGTTTCTTCTTTCTCGTGGTTCCTCCCATTGGTTCTAATTCTTCTTTACAACATTAGTAATGTGAAAATATGTTTAATATGAATGTCTATGTAAGGCCTCTATGAGAGTGCATGCCGTCTTGAGGTGGAGGGAGGGGAAGCAGGGGGAGAAAATTTGGAATTCAAAATCTTATGAAAGTGAATGTTTAAAACTAAAAATAAATTAAAAAAACAAAGATATAAGACAAAAAGGAAAAGGACTTATACATACAAAAATATTTACAGCAGCTATTTTAGTGGTGGCAAGTAATTAGAAGTTGAGGGGGTGTCTGTCAACTGGAGATTGGCTGAATCAATTTGGCGTATGACTGTGAAGGAATACTATTGTGCTGTAAGAGACGACAAGCAGGATGCTCTCAGGAAAACTTGAAAAGACTTGTATGAACTGATGCAAGATGAAATGAGCAGAACCAAAAGAACATTATACACAGTAACAGCAATACTGCATGATGATCAATTGTGAATGACAGCTATTCTTAGCAGTACAATAAACCAAGACAATTCCAAAGAACTTATGATGAGAAATGCTATCCATAGCCAGAGAAAGAACTGATGGAGTATGAATGAATATCAGAGCTTACTTTTTTTACTTTATTTTTCTTGGTTTTAAAATTTTTTTGGTCTGTGCTTTCTTTCACAACACAACTAATATGGAAATATATTTTGCATGACTACACATATATAATCTATATCAAATTACTTGCCTTCTCAATGAGGGGTCAGGAGAAAAAGGGAGACAAAGAATTTGGAACACAATTAAAAAAACAAATGTCAAAAATTATTTTTGCATGTAATGGTTAAAATATAATATTAAATAAAAAAGGAACTACAGAAAATGGTACGGTTGTGAGAGTAATATATGGAATTTATTTTTTAAGGCAATAAAATGGTGTGCAATGATGATTTGTGATTTTATATACAATTCTCTTTTTGTGTTCTGCTATGGAAATGCTGGGGGATTTTTGGTGCTTAAATTGAGAATAAAAAATAAAATTAGAAAAAATTAAAGCCTTCCTTCTTTCTCTCAATCTTTTTCCTCTTTTGCTTTCTTCATTTAGATTCCTAGAAAGGCTGGCCCTAGGAGAAATGATGGGGGGGGTGGGTATTGGGTCCTCTTATGCCAATACTGGACCTTCATCTCCTCACTCTTCTCTCTCCTTGATAGCTTTTGAACCCTTGCTTAGAGGAACCTTGATGACAAGCTGAATTCTCCCTACCCATCCCATTCAATCTGAATCCTATCCATTAATTAATCAAATTAACTTCTCTCAGGAAGTTTTCATTGACTACTCCAATATCTTTTCATTCTTCAATTATTTCTTACATGATGTTCTGAAAAGATTCCATCATCACCTGGTATATAACTTTCCCTGGATAAATTTGCTTTGAGATCTTCAAAACCTGGGACCAAGAAATTAATTCTAGGTCTAGACTTGGAGTCAGGAAGACCTGAGTTCAAATCTTGCCTTAGACGCTTAAGAGTTGTGTGAGAGTAGGCAAGTCATTTAATCTCTCTCCATTTCAGTTACCTTATCTGTAAAATAGGGATAATAATAGTTGTTGTGAGGGTCAAATGAGCTAACATTTGTAAAGCACTTTACTAACTCTAAAACACTATATAAAAGCTAGTTATTATTATTACTTCCTCAGTACAGAGCATGGACAGAGCGTAGGAAGATCCTGTTCACAGACTCTGGAATGCTCAGATTCCAAAATCTTCTATGTCTTAGGGTATGTGTTCCCACACCAAATAAAGAATTGAGGATCCCTAACCCCTGGAGGATTTCACCAAGAAGAACTGACCCCTGGATCTTAAAAAGAATTTTCAACCTATCTTTGAGAGTAGCCTCAGTCTGTCATCATTCTCCCTTTCTAAATTGGAGATGAAACAGCTTGCTTATTGGCATCCTGGGGAAAGAATAGACATTCTTATAGTTATAGAAATGAAGGGGGACAGGGCTTACCTAGTCCAGTGTGCCTCCAAAAAGGAGGAAGAGTAGACGATAAGGGGAAGGGTCACAGTGAAAGCCCACATTAGCACGCAAGAGAAGAACTGCGTCACAATGGGATTCTGTAGGGAATAAGGTGGAGTAGGGGTGGAATTAGTGGGGAGTACTACTTTCCTTATGAATTTGTCTTCCCCATCAGTCTGAAACATGCATGGGTCTTTCTCTTTTTTGCCTTCGGTCCCACAGTCAGGTTACCACGTGTTTTTCCCACTCACTGAACTTTGCCATGGGTGCAGAGGAAAGAATGCTGGGTTTGGGGTCTGAAGATCTAGGTTCAAGTTCTGACTCTGCCACTTATTCCTTGTTAAGTTTTTGTGTCCCACATGAATAACCTACGTCGAATTGCTTGCCTTCTCAATGAGGGGAGTGGGGAGGGAGGGGGAAAATTTAGAACTCAATTTAAAAAAAATGTTGAAAATGGTTATTACATGTAATTGGGGAAAAATAAAATACTAAATAAAAAATAACAACTACAACAACAAATACTTTGTGTCCTCGTCTCCTTATCTGTGAAATGAGGGAATTGGACTAGATGATGTCTAAGGTACTTTCTAGCTCAAATCGATGGTCCTCCCCAAACCTTCATAGCTAAGACAGGCCACCGCTGCAGGCCCAGAGAACAGATCAATCAATCCACATTTATTAAGTGACTATTACGTGCCAGGCCCTGTGCAACATTCAGAGGATACAAAAAGAACCTACAATACAGTCATAGGCTTAGTACTTGTGCTGAAAAGGGCCTTCCAAGGTCATCCAGCTCAACCCTTTTTTTTTTTAATAGATGAAATAGGCCCAGAGAGGTTAAATGATTTGTGTAAGGTTTACAGTTAGTAAGCAAGTTAGCCATGCCAAAATTCAAACTCTGGTCTTTTGGTACTAGATCTAGTACTCTTTCCATTCCCCTTGTCTCCATCCCCTCCCACATATGCACACCGTAGGCACAGTGATATGACCCCAAACCTATCACTTTTGAATACCATCTTCCACCTATCTAAGTTATGTGATGACATAAGTCCAGTGTGGTGACACCACTATATGGGGTGGCCAACCCTACAGAGACCACCATCCTCTTTCCCAGAAAGTACAGCTAGCTTCTGGGATTGTTGGAAAACTTACCCAGGGAAATAGCATGGCATGAGCTCCCCAGGCCTGGTGCCATGCAGAGGGTGTGACCTCTGTGTCTGTGTCTATCTGAAGGTATATAATGCTGGGAGGATAGAGGAGAGGTAGATGGTGACTAACCTTGGGTTTAAGGACTTGGAAATGGGATTAAGAGTTCTTCAGAGTCTCTAACTATTGAATCACAAATATTTTTAAACGTCTTTGTCCTCTGGGAGGGGGAGGTGTGGAGGGCCATTTTCAGGGATGGGAGAATAAATGATGAGGGCTAGGCATCTTGGGGGTTTAGGGAAACTGTCAGACTATTTGCTTAATTTCTACCTAAACTTGACTTGAGGATTCTATTTAGTGGTCAATAGCTTGGCCAGCTGTAAGATCTGTCAAGGCATTCCCTGATCTCAGATGTGCCCAAGGATTTTTTTTTAACTGAGGCAGTACTGTTAATCACCTCCAAACACACCTTCTGCATATTCATGACATCCTAGCTAGTTCAGGGTTTAAACCAGACCCAAAGGCTGACTCCTGACTGGAGGTTGACCTGCCTACACTCACCTTGGAATAAATCTGTAGTCCTTACTCCCTTTCCTATTTCTTCAACTTCAACCTTCAAGACTGAAGATATCCTAAATTCACCTTAAAGCAGGGTTCTTAACTTGGGATCCAAAAACTTGCTTTTAAAAATATTCTGAGAGCTGCATTTCAATCCAATTGGTTTCCTTATTAATCTTAGGTGTTTTATTTTATGCATTTTAAAACATTATTCTGAGGAATCCTAAGAATATGGTCCTTTCACCTGATTGCCAAAGGGGTCCACAACATGAAAAGGTTAAGAACCCCAGCTTTAGAATGAAGAAGACTATTAACCCTTCTGCCAATTACGGGGTTGTACGTCCATAGGCTATGAGGTGAGTGGGGAGTCACCCTTTGCAGTCTTCTCCTGAGTACATTTCCCTCCATGGAATTATCACAATTCAAGAATGAGAATACATTCTTCTTTCTTTGAGAAGCCTTCCCGCCACTCCCACCTGTGTCTCCTGCCCACTTCTCCCTGCTCAAGCTGAAGGAGCACCTGGAGATTCTCGATGGGTCGAGTGACATTGAACATGTCCATGGTGTTGATAACAATGCTCGGTGTGGTGAGGAAGAAGATCAGGATGAAGAGGAAAGAGTTGAGAAATAAGAAACGTGCCCACCAATAAAATCCACGGATGGATAGGTGCTGCCTAAGGAATAGAAGAAGATCTATGAAACAAGAGAGTTCTACAAGGAACAGACTGAACTTGTGGTAGCTTTCCTTTATTTCTAAACAAGCAGGGCCACTCTATTTTATGTTCCTAGAAGTTCCATATGCCTCCTGGCAGGAGGCTTCTAGAGCTGCTTCCTTCCCTTTTACATATTCCTGCCAGCACTGGTCCATAGGCAACCTGACTTCTTTGAAGTACACAGGGGATAACTTTATCTATTGCTCCTCCATCGATTCTGGAGAAGCTTCTAGGTCCCTTCCTTGAAGGAAAGCTTGAGGTGAGCTCTTTTTCCTCCAGGAAGGCATTATCTTATGTTGAATAGTCCAATTCCCTTTCAGAGTTGGGCTAAAAGTACGGACAATATAGTCATTGTGTGTAAAGGAGTTTGAGGCCAGGACTACCATGAATCTATATAGTTCTGTCACAAGTTCAGCCAGGAATAGGCACAGCCCTGCTATGGGCTGGTTATACTTACAGGCCTTGTGGATGTCTTTAACAAAAGCAGAGACCATTTATGTCAGGGGATAACTCTGGTTCATGTAGTTATTCTTTCTGTAGTGATTAAGTGGGGCGGAAGGCAGGCATAGGATCTTATGGGGGGAGGGTCATAAGATCAAAGGATTTGGAGTGGAAATGGGCAACTAAATGGTCCATTAAATAGAGTTTGAGACTTTGGTATCAGGAAGATCTGAGTGTTAATCCTGCCTCAAACACTTACTAGCTATGTGACCCTGGGAAAATAATTTTAACTGTTCAGCTTCATTTGGCTCATCTGTAGAATAAAATGACACCCACCTCACAGTATTGCTCTGAGGAGCAAATGAGGTAACATATAAAGTGTTCTACCAATCTTAAAGTGCTATATAAATGCTAATTATTATTATCCAGGCCATACCAGGAGATGGAGGCATCAGGTGACTTGCCCAAGGCCACACAAGTAGTATTGAAACTTGGTCAACTTGTATCCCTATCCAGTGCTCTCTACATTACAGTGGAGTCATTGGCCTTCTCTAGCCTCGAAGGAGCTCTGATGAGGAAGTGGAAGAAGGCTCACCAAAGAATATCCTTAGGATGAGGGGCATAGAAGATCCTCCATTTCTGAGACTGGACTACCGATGTCACTGAGGATTGTTGTGGAGTTTTGCCACAATAAACCCACCGGAAATCCTTTAGGATCCTGGGGAGAAGAGAAAGAAAAAAGAGGGCAGAGGTCAGACAGACGGGCAGGGGAACTAAGGTCCCTATCTCTGTATGAGGCCTTGAAGATTATCTATTCCAACTAATATACTAAACTGACTTATCCAGTGAAAAGACATCTAAAGCCATCACCTAATGCAGTCATTCCAATTGGTATGAAATTTTAACCAAGTGTTTTGGGCTAAAGTAGTTGTTTTTTTTTTTTAAGCTGGAAATCTCAACAAACATGAGGAATAAGGAGTATACTGATTTTCATCAATCACGTTTGTATTTTTGCCAGGGCTAAGTTTGACTGTGATACCTGTGTATGCTGATCTTCCTCCTGGAGGAGATGGTAAAGGGACTCAAAGAATGTCTCTTAACTCACATAAATTGTTAACATTTTGATATATTACCCACAGAGTCCAGAAGCAAGAGATAGAAAGAGAAATTCCATGTAAAATAACTGCACATAGTATAGAATACTTGGGAATCTACCTGCCAAGACAAACCCAGGAACCATATGAACACAGTTACAAAATGCTCTTCACATATATAATGTCAGATCTAAATAACTGGAAAAATATAAATTGCTCATGAGTAAACTGAGCCAATATGATAAAAATAACAATCCTACCTAAATTAACATACTTATTTAACGCCATAGCAATTGAACAACCAAAAATTTATTTTATAGAGCTAGAAAAAAATAATAACAAAATTCATCTGGAAGATCAAAAAGTCAAGAATATAAAGTGAATCAATGGAAAAAAAAAAGTGAAGGAAGGTGGCCTAGCCACATCAGATCTCAAATTGTATTACAAAGTGGTAATCACCAAAATAATCTGGTGCTGGCTAAGAAATAGAGTGGTGGATCAGTGGAATCAAGTAGGTACACAATACACAGTCGGAAATGACCTTAGTAATAGATAAACACAAAGATCTAAACTTTTGGGACAAGAATTATTTGTTTTTTTAATAATATTTTATTTTTCCCTAATTACATGTAAAAATGATTTTTTTTTGGTTTTTTTTATTTTGTTTTTTTTTAGGCAATTGGGGTTAAGTGACTTGCCCAGGGTCACACAGCTAGTAAGTGTCAAGTGTTTAGTCTGAGGTCAGATTTGAACTCAGGTCCTCCTGACTCCACGGCTGGTGCTCTATCTACTGCGCTGCCTAGCTGCCGCAGAACAATTTTTTTTAAATGTTCGTTGGTTTTTTTTTTAAGTTTTTAGTTTTAAATTCTATCCCTCCCTCTCACCCCTCCTTCATCCCTAAAACAGTAAGCAATCTGATATAGGTTATACATGTGTAATCGTGGTAAACATTTCCATAATAATCATTTTGTGCAAGAAGACTTGAACAAAAAAAAGAAAAGAAAGTGAAAAATTGTATATTCAGTCTGTATTCAGACATCAGTTCTTTCTCTGGAGGCAGATAACATTTTTCATCATGAGTCCTCTGGAATTGTCTTAGAACATTGTATTGCTGAGAATAGCTAAGTCATTCACAGTTCTTCATCACACATTATTGCTATTACTATGTACAATATTCTCTTGGTTCAGCTCATTTCACTTTGCATCGGTTCATGTAAGTCTTTCCATGTTTTTCTGAAATCATCCTGCTTCTCATTTCTTATAGCACAATAGTATTCCATTCACAATCATATACAATTTGTTCAGCCATTCCCCAAGTGATGGCATTCCCTGAATTTCCAATTCTTTGCCACCACAAAAAGAGCTGTTATAAATATTTTTGTACACATAGGTATTTTTCCTTTTTAAAAAAATCTCTTTGGGATATAAACCTAACAGTGGTATTACCCTGGCTCAAAGGGTATGTACCGTTTTATAGTCGTTTGGGCATAGTTCCAGATTGCTCTCCAGAATGGTTAGATCAGTTCACAACTCCACCAACGGTGAATTATTAGCATCCCAATTTTCTCACTTATGGTATTATCTTTTGTGTCTAAATCATGTATTCATTTTGACCGTATCTTGGTATATGGTATGAGGTGTTGGTCTATACCTAGTTTCTGCCAAACTGCTTTCCAGTTTTCCCAGTAGCTTTTGTTAAATACTGAGTTCTTAATATACAGAGAACTCAGTCAGATGTATAAGAATACAGACCATTCCTCTATTAATAAATGTTCAAAGGATTTGAACAGGAAGTTTTTAGACAAAGAAATCAAAGCTATCTTACAGGCATATGAAAAAATGCTTTAAATCACTCTTAATTAGAGAAATTAAAATAAAAACAACTCTGAGATACCACTTCACACCTATTAGATTGCCTAATACAACAAAAAAGGAAAGTGATAGATGTTGGATGAGATGTGGGAAAATTTGGACATTAATGCACTGTTAGTGGAGTTGTGAACTGATTTAATCATTCTGTAAAGCAATTTGGAACTATGCCCAAAAGGCTATAAAACTGTGCATACCCTTTGACCCAGCAATAACCACTACCAGGTCTGTACTCCAAAGAGATTTTTTTTAAAAGGAAAAATACCTATGTGTACAAAAATATTTATAACAGCTCTTTTTGTGGTGGCAAAGAATTGGAAATTTAGGGGATGCCATCACTTGGGGAATGGCTAAACAAAGTGTATATGATTGTGAATGGAATACTATTGTGCTATAAGAAATGATGAGCAGGATGCTTTCAGAAAAACCTGGAAAGACTTAACATGAACTGATGCAGAGTGAAGTAAGCAGAACCAAAAAAAATTGTACCCATAGCAGCAATATTGTATGCTGATCAACTGTGAATGACTTAGCTATTCTCAACAATAGAAAGATCCAAGAAAATTCTGAAGGACTTAACGAAGAAAAATGCTATCCAGCTCCAGAGAAAGAACTGATAGAATCTGAATGCAGGTCAGAGCATACTGTTTTTAAATTTTCTTTATTTTCCTTGTTTTTTTTTTTATCTGTGTTTTCTTTCACAATATGATTAATATATGTTTTGCATGTCTGTACACGTATAACTTTTATCAAATTCTTGCCTTCTTAATGATTTGGGGTGGGGGGGAAGGAGAAGAAGGGTGGGAGAGAATTTGGAACTCAAAATTGTAAAAAATGAAGGTTAAACTGTCTTTTAGATATAATTGAAAAAAAATAAAATGTTAAAAAAAGAAAGAATACTTCTTCACACTCTAGGTTATCAAGAAGAATGAAATGTCCCTAAAGGAAACAAGAATGAGGTTTCAATAGGGGAAAGGGTATGAGGTAGGGGAGGGGAGATGATTCTTTGTCAGTAGGTTAGAGAGGGGAAGAGAATTACACAGAGAAGGGAAAGGAAAAATTTATCTATACAGTTACAGCTCAAAAATAGATTTGAGACTCTTACTCCCACCCCCTCCCCCAACCACTCAAGAAACTTATTATTTTCAGATAGATTCACGATTCAGAATTTTAGATCCTAAAGGAGGTTGTGACAATGCCCAGTTTTAGGCCTAAGTCCAAACTGAAACTCAATTTTGTAAGATTTCTTTAAAGGTGAATTGCAAGTTGTTACATCTAACATATGATATTATAATCTTGTTGACTGTTAGGGCTAGAAGTTAATGAAATAACATCTTGTTTATGCTCCTCCTCCTCCAATTACGAAGAAACAGAGATCTACTAGAAAGGTAAGATGATTTATAAGAGGTACCATATCTAATTAGTGACAGAGCTGAGGCTGGAATTTGAATCCAAATCCAGTGGGCTTCCCCAGCTCCCCCAATACTTTGTGTGAGGCTCTTCTTAAAGAAGAGGAAGGACAGGGGTGGAGCCAAGATGGCTGAGAAAAGGCAGGGACTTGCCTGAACAGCAGACAACTTTAAATAATACCTAAAACAAATTTTGGAGTGGCAGAACCACAAAAAGACAGTTTGAAACAATTTTCCAGCCCAAGACAACTTAGAAGTTCGCAGAAAAGGTCTTTTGCACTGGAGTGAGAGAGAAGTTCAGTTCAGTGCAGGCTGCACCAGCGCAGATCGGGTCCCAGCAAACTAACAGTAGGCCTTGAGATGACTGAATCAGTGGCAGCAGTGGTGTCTTCTAGACCTGTCAGCCCACAGACAACAAGGGGATTGGACAACTAACTGGTCAGGAGGAGATTACAGGAGTCCTTTTGCTGGGTGAACCAGGGGCAGAACTCTGTTGCATTGCCCATATTTGGATCTGAGTAATAGTCTCTTGTCTCAGGGTAAAGAGGAGCACTAGAGCTTATGGTCACAGGGGAGGAGGACATTGGTCACAGTTGCAGGGCAGAAAAGAGTGCTTGTGATCACTCACAGATCAGAGCACAGGCCAGGAGAGGAGTAAACACCCCTCTCCCTAGACCATACCACCACAAAGAACCAAAAACTTACAGGTGGCCAGAATTATCGCTGAAAACAGCTGCACAAAAAACTCTGAAACTTGAAACACTGCTCCTTCCACCCCAGAAACAGAGCCCCATTTTAGCATAGACTTAAAAGTCAAGAAATAGGCTGGAAAAATGAGCAAAAAATAGAAAAAGATCCTGACTATAGAAAATTACTATGATGATCGGGAAGATCAAAACACAGAGACAGAAGACAGCAAAGTTAAAACTAAAACTGCTACATACAAAGCCTCAAAGAAAAATATGAATTAGTCTCAGGTTGTGGAAGAACTCAAAAAGGATTTTTAAAGTCAAGCAAGAGGCAGATAGGTAGCACAGTAGATAGCGCACTAGCCCTGGAGTCAGGAGGATCTGAATTCAAATCCAGCCTCACACACTTGACACAGTAGCTGTGTGACCCTGGGTAAGTCACTTAACTTGATTAAACTGATTGCTTCACAACAGCAACAACAACAACAAAAGTCAAGTAAGAGAGGCAGAGGAAAAAGTGGGAGGAGAAATGAGAGTGAAGCAAGAAAATCATGGAAAAAGAGTCAACAGCTTGTTAAAGAAGGCACAACAAATACTGGAGAAAATAACACCTTAAAAGACAGCATAGGCCAAATGGTTCCAAAAAAAAGGGCACAG